AAAATAATAATAACATAATATATATACTAATAACAATAATAATAATAACAATAATAATAATAATAATAATAATAATGATAATGATAGTAATAATGATAATGATAAATAAAATAAAAATAAAAATGAGAATATAAAAAAGAACAATAATAATAATGTAACAATAATAATAATGAAATAATAATAATAATAATATAATCAATGAAAAAAAAATAATAATATAATAATAATATAATAATTATCAATAATAATAAAATCAACAAATAACAAAATACAATAAAATAATAAAAAAAGAAAAAATAATAAGAAAAACATAATGATAATAAAAACAATAACAATAATAAATAACAATAATAATAATAACAATACTACTAATACTCATAATAATAATAGTAATAGTATAATAATAATAATAAATAAATAATATAATAATAATAAATAATAATAATATAATAATAATAATAATAATATAATAATATAATCAATAATAATAATAATAAATAATAATAATATAATATAATTAATAATAATAATAATATAATAATAATAATAATAATATAATAATAATAATAATAACAATAATAATAATTATAATATAAAATAATAAATAATATAATAATAATAATAATATAATAAATAATAAATAATAAAATTAATTAATAATAATAATCATAATATTCACAAAGAAAATAAATTATAGCATAAAAAAAACATTATGGCTTTTTGATAATACAAGAAAAAAAAAAAAAATGAAAAAATAAAAAAAATAAAAAAATGGATATCTGCACTTGTCAAACTCCAAACAATGATAAGCAACATAACTTTTATCAAAAACCACTTGAAAATGAAAAATAAATGCCCCACTGATTCCCAGATATTACCCACATTACAAGAAAAAGAAAGAAAGAAAGAAAAAAAATACTTGCACACGTTTGCATTTCAAATCTCATGACTCATCCACCTATTAGTCATCGACATAACTCAAAGGGTTTATCTCCCACACATTAATGTCAAGTACCCTTCCATCACCTAAGGGTAGCCCTTTTAATTCCTCTATAAAAGAGTAGTATTCCAATCGCATCCAGAAAACGAGTACATGATCTCTATGTAATACGTTCTCCTATCCTTCTTAAACAGAATCCCATTAAGAATAGAATAAAGTCATTGAAAATCTACATTTCAGCAAGCATGGTAATACCACCGACCACCAGATCACTTGTTAATTAACCCTGATAATTATAACCACTAAAAGAGTAATTGATCTTATCATGTGTTTATGATTTAATGGTAGCAACTAACAGTAAATTACTTTCATTTCATTATCTGAAAGCGAGATCGGGAAAGAGAGGAAGAGGTAGGAATAGAGAGAGAAAGTGGGGAGAGAGGGAAAGAAGTGAGAGAGGGAAAGAGAGAGAGAAAGAGAGAAGAAAGAGAGGAGAGAGGGAGGGAGAGAGAAGAGAGAGAAGAGAAAGTAAAATAGAAAGAGAAAAGAGAAGAGAAAAGAGAGAGAGGAGAGAGAGAGAGAGAGAGAGAGAGAGAGAGAGAGAGAGAGAGAGAGAGAGAGAGAGAGAGAGAGAGAGAGAGAGAGAGAGAGAGAGAGAGAGAGGAGAGGGAGAGGGAGAGGGAGAGGGAGAGGGAGAGGGAGAGGGAGAGGGAGAGGGAGAGGGAGAGAGGAGAGGGGGGAGGGGGGGAGGGGAGAGGGAGAGAGAGAGAGAGAGAGAGAGAGAGAGAGAGAGAGAGAGAGAGAGAGAGAGAGAGAGAGAGAGAGAGAGAGAGAGAGAGAGAGAGAGAGAGAGAGAGAGAAGGGAGAGGAGGAAGGGAGGGAGGGAAAGGGAGGAGGGAAAGGGAGGGAGGGAAAGGGAGGGAGGGAAAGGGAGGGAGGGAAAAGGAGGAGGGAAAAGGAAGGAGGGAAAGAGGAGGGAGAGAGGGAGGGAAAGAGAGGGAGGAAGGAGGGAGAGAGGAGGAGAGGGAGGAAGGGAGGGAGAGGAGGAAGGGAGGGGAGGATGAGAGAGGGAGACTGAGAGGGAGAGAGGGAAAGAGAGGGAGAGAGAGAGGGAGAAGGAGGGAGGCAGAGGGAGAGGGAGAGGGAAAGGGAGAGAAATTTCTTGTACCAGTACTTCAAACTGTGATATATTTTTATATAGGCAATTCCTAATATGGTGCCAAGTAATATCACTTGTAAAAAATTGCACTGCTTTAAAGGGCATACAAAATAACAATACTTTTACAGCCCAATCCATGCAGCTTTACTTAATATAGCATGCACATGTAAAAAATGCATAATATGACCTGAACGAGCCACAAATCTGATATGTAAATAGGGTTATTATAAGTGTGAAAAAATATACTATTGATTTCAATTAAATGCCTTCTGTCTTTGAAATAATATCTCCTAAATATATGCAAGAAAGACTGCCAACATGGCCTAGTGTTTGCCAATGATTTTTAATGTACTAAGAAACATTCACATCAACCATGTGAGTCATTTACATATCAGTAAGCCTATAAATCAACTTGTTCAATACACTATGTAATTATTTATCTTGATTATCTTCAGGCCTAATCCATTTATGCTCAACTTTTTGCACATGAACATTTGACTTCTTTCAAAGATATTAGCTCAATAAAATAAAAATATTTAATAACACTGGGAGATGAGATTTTCCCTTAAACTGTAATCACTCACTGATGGTCAATGGAAAAGAAAAATACTAAAGAGAATAGTGTGGCAAACAAAAACCATGACCCTAATTAATCTCTCACAACCACATGCTTTCATTCTCAAAAATATAAATCTCAACTGACCCCATCTATATATTCACATTCACAAATTGACCTAGTATGTTTCAAGTTTATAGTGCATAGGCTTTAATACTGAGGTAGCTGGGGACAACTCAGGAATAAAAGGGTTAGTTGTGTGGGAAAGTCTATGAGTTATTTGTGGTTTTAAATACTGTTCTCTCAAAATGAGATGTATAATACTGAGTGCAGATAAATCACTATTAACATTTGTGTTGTGTTCAGTCTTCATTGGATTGACCCAATGATTTATTAGAAAACTAAAATTCCCAATCTAGACCCAAGTCACTGATAGTATTAATGTAGAACCCAAATACGGTTAGCCGTAACTTTCGTGGTAACATTGAATCTTCTAATTTCTTATGACATTGTCGATTCTATTAATTGAACGGGGAAATACAAATTCAAACTGAAAAATTTCATCACTAGCATTTTCAAATCAGTCATGCGCGTTTCTCATATCTCAGTTCCTCTAAACGACAAACTTTCATAATCACTACCACCTATACTTCAGATAAAAGCGTTTTTTTCTAAATACAGTTCATATTCCACTTTGCTCTGAATGCTTTTAATATATAACTGAGGAGTTAAGAATATAGTAACACAAATCACATTGGATATTCACTCTCTTCATGCAACTTTTCCATGTCTTCCTTTATATATTAAAAAAAAAATGTATTTTAACAATTTATTTCCATACATATTCATTTTTCTGATTGTGTTGCACATTAACAGAAAAATCATGGCTCTGGTGTTCCTTGCACTACCACCATGGCATTATTGCACAAATCGTGTCATCACTATTCACACTTGCAACAAATGCAAACCAAACACATTTTTCAATCACTTTTTAAAATTCCATTTTTTTCGCCAAAAATAAATTAGCAAAATGCTGATATTTTCCAATCAGTGTATTTCCCTACACACCACACATATCACTCGTATTAGAACTTGACATATCTCACAGTCCACATCATAATCACATCTTTTCCAACTAAATCACGCTTTAAAATAAGCGCCCCCACAGCCATCCCAATCCGACAGGACAAGGAAACAAGAACGAAAAAAAATTAAAAACTCCCGAGTGACCCAAACTTTTATCACGGAAGAAACAAGAGTTCAAGTAACGGCATCATGACATTCACCCTTTATTTCGCCCTTCCTCGCTCATT